GGTGAAAACCGTTTCACTCCCGCCGGCCTAAATTCGAGGTCCTCCGATAATAACTTAGTCCAAGGCAGGACCTTTACCTTTCTTATCTCTTTCATAGGCTCTAACTACGTCGGGAGTTGTTTCTAGAAGTTCAGTTCTAGGAAACCAACGGTCGTCTTCTCGCTCCTGATAAGCAAATCGAACCTTATACTGCTTTTGCAGACGACCTCTAACTCCTGTTCTGAAGACGTCTTCACCTACAATGCCATCAATGTCGTATCTTTCGTCCATGTCTGGAGGAATCATAGATCTCCTAGATGGAAACTATTGACTTATGACACACGGCAACAACTTTGAGGCATGAAACACAGGGTAGGTGTGGAGGTGTGCTGGGATCTCTACTGTGTAGGACGGCCCATCCTCTCCGCCCTTAACTTCTAGAACTGGCCACGGTCCTCTATATGCGGGCAGTAACTTCTGCGAGATGTTCTCCTCAGGAGCAAACTCTTTAGACTTGACCCAGACTCGGTCGCCAACTTGAAACTGTGACGGGCAACGGTGCTTATTGGCTTGTTCTATCATTCGGTGTTGGGCCTTCCTGAGGTTCTCTACCATGGTAGCTAACTCTTTCTCGTGCTGTAACGCAAACTCCCTAGTACCAGGCGGTAGCCTGTGAATCTGATCCCGGTTAAGTCCCTCAAACGGTCTGCGTGGTCTAAAGGACTTGTGCAACTCGTTGGGAGTGTGACAAGTAGACAAGTGCACGCTGTTGTTGTACGCACTGGCTACTTTGGGCAACATCTCATCCCAATTGATCTGATCCGGTCTGATGTACATACGCAGAACTTGTTGCAGGATCGTATTCATCTGTTCAGCCTGACCGTTAGTCTTTGGATGACGGCCAGATGACATCAACAGCTTGGAGCCATAGACTCTCATCAACTCCTGCCAGTTCTGACTAGTGAACCGGGTGTCTCTATCACTAACTATAGACAGTGGAATCCCTTGTTCATTGACCCAATGATCACAGAACTTCTGAAAGGCACAGGAACAAAAACAACATACTTACTGAACCTATCAACTATTACCATGAGTTGGCTCTTGCCGTGCCTACTCTTGACATGGGTATCCATAAAGTCAATGGACACTAAATCCCCTGGCTGATCAGGAATAG